CTAGGATAAAATCTCTTATCCCATAAAAAGCTAAAAAATATTTTTTTTTTTTTTTTTTTTTTTTGTCATTTCAAATATTATGTTTCGATTGCTTTCTTAATTTCTATGTATAATTTATAAATTATAATGTTGCGTCCGGCCGTACCCGTATTCTGTAATTTCAAGAATTGACGTGTCTTGTATCTGTATTGTGTCATATCCATGTCGTCGTATTCATATCGATGCAACATAGAAAAATAGCCTTGATATGAGTTATGATAGTGCGATTAGGCCTTAAAACTTTGACAAAAAAAATATCATTGCTATTGATATTGTTGACCCCTACACATCAAACCATGTGCAAAAGGGGCAAAATCGGCAAATTAAGCAACACCCGTGTCGACGTGATGCGCCACTTGAAGGGAAAAACGACCTCCGATTAACAAACGGATTATGTCATTGCAATCAAAACGTCAAGTTTGCCTAAGAGGGCACCCCTCGTTGTCAAATCAGACAAGATTAGTCCAAAGAGACGACTTACAATGGAAATTGAAGTCGCCCAAATGACGTTAGATAGCAAAACGGATTTCGTCGTTGCATTTGGAACGTCATCGACACCCAAAATCACTATCAACTTGTTCAATTGGAGTCATCTAGCAAAATCAACACGAATCCCGAGCGGTGATTGACAAACCGAAGAAATTGATGCGCGAAGCCGCCGAAATGACGTCTGATCGCAAAAAGCTAAGTTTTAATTTATAAAAGCTAAGTAAAGATGGTTGACTTGCAACAGATGTAAGCACCTACGAGTTATTGTATAGGACTCATCACACATACCAAATGTTACCTACGAGAAGATATAGAAGAGCTGTAGTAAATACAAGTACCTAAAAGCTGTATTAGAGAATCCACGGTGTACGCAACATCTTGCTAGCGAAAGTGGCAAGTGATTTGTAGCATCATTTACGAAGAATATGGAGTTAAAGCTAAACTGCTCGACCTGCTTGAATATCTTGGATCAACCAATGTTGTTGCCTTATAGACGGAGCTTATAAAACACCCGTAACAAGGTATTGACAAATGATAGATACAGTTGTCCTGATTGCAGACAATGATGCTCCTTTGCAAACATACACAGTGCAATATGTAATAAATGTAAACATCTGTTGGTAATGGCGGATGAGTTGTCGCATGTACGACAGTGGTAATTAGCAGCATGCAACAAGTACCACAGTACCCTTATAGTTGATAACCATGTTGAGGAGAAGTGCATTCAACTCATATCAGAACTGAAAGATTGATCAAGTACGACTAAGTCTTCCAATTGATCATTCCAAAAAATTCTGATATTGATAGTTGGGTATAAAGGCAACTCGACGTATGGAGGAAACCCGCTGATATGCTATTAAAAGAAGACTCCAAATGTGTCACAAGAAACGCCGAAGACTTCCGACAACTACAAGTATCTGCAAGCTGCTGCAGGAAACCCATTAATCTACAACTAGCAGGAGGGTCCCAACTGTGACACTAAGCATGCGAAATTGAATAATTTTATAAATGATTATGTAGAATCAAAGAATGAGTAGTTGTAGAAAAAAATGTCTCATTCTATCATCTCTTCAAAAATACTAAGGCTCCCAAAAATATGTTGAGCTATTTGTGGGAACATCCGGAGATCGAGCCTTGCAACCCAATGTCATACATGTGCATCACAAATACATAGAACAAGCCCCTCGAGTACATTATTCTGGAGCCGGAGAAGAAGGCTCTATTTACCATGCGTATATCAGATACTAGAATGTCGTTGAGATCACGAAGATGATCTTGCACTCTGTTATGTCCATGCTTCAAAGAAACTACCTTGTAATGAGTCGAAGACAAAGCAATACATCGGTCGAGCCTTTGGTCTCATCAGCTTATGAAACCTCATCTATCACAAAATGACCTTATATCGTTTGGATGTCCTTACCCAGTCTAAGCAAGGATAGGGTGACTTATGAATATGATCTCTAAGGATGAAAAGGCAATCATCAGTTGGACTAAATGATATTCTTGTAACTTATCAATGGAAGCATAATGCAACTCACGTCATTGCTGCTACGGATAAAGGCAGAATCTACATCAGAACAATAAAGTATCTTATGGCTATGTTGGATGACAACACTACCATTCGTCTGTAAGCAAAAGTAGGGAATCTATAATAAAAACTGCAAATCACAGGTGGACCGAGTGATAAACTTACAGCACCATGCCACCAGATCCGTCACACTCATACAAACAGACAGGAGTTTGAATATTCCTAAATGAAATTTAGTGCATTTATCAATAGTGGTTATTTGCATAACTGATAACCAGAAAAATACACCTTTGCACTGTATGTAAATATTTTAAAAATAACCTCATATTTACATTGCAAGATGCATTTTGTAGTAACAGTGCATTGCAGTTACATGCCAATATGTTGCATATGCGTGTATTATAACTTGCAGAATAAATTATGCAAGCATGTCATCCGACATCACTATCACATTCCAAAAAGTCCTCGGCATGCATTTGTAGGATGCCGATGATTTCATTTTAGTGTGTCATTATGAATGACCTCCCACCTGCATTTGCAGGATGTAGAAGGTTTCATTCTAGCATGTCAGTTGACATTGCAATCACAATTTAAAATTACCTCTTGCATGCATTGGTATGATGTTGAGGATTTCATTCAAGCATGACATTCAACATTACAATTACACTCCAAAGTATCCTCCCGTATGTATTTGAAATATGCAGAGAATTTTATTCCAGTAATATCATCCATATGTATAAATGCATCACGCAAAATACACTCAACAGCATATAACCGCATGAGCCCTGACGAGTGTGTTATGGGTACACACGTGGCGTCTGAGGATGCTATGCCGGTTAACAAATGAACCTAAGTTTGAACCCAATCCTCTATCGGTAAATAAGATAGAGTCGACAAAGTTCAACCAACAAAACAAAAATGTCCATAAAAAAACCCATGACAATGATCATGTTAAATGCAAATCTCAACCGGAGGGATTGATTATCAAGAATCTACCAAAGGCACCAAGCCTACAACAAGCCCGATCCTCTGTCGACAAATAAGACAAAGTCGACAAAGTTCAACTAATAAAAAAAATTTTTCATACACCTGATGATGACCTTGCTGAATATAAATCTCAACTAGAGGGAAATTCTCAATAATCTATCAAAGATAACAAGTCTACAACAAATTCAATCCTTTGTCGGCAAAAAAGAAAGAGCCGATAAGTTTCAACTAATAAAACAAAATTGCCCATACACCCTGATGATAGTCGTGTTGATAGAAAATTTTAACCGGAGGGGACCATAAACATTTAAAATACCTCCCAAATGCCCAAAAAAATTCAAAAATTTCAAAAAATAGGAAAACCTAAGATATTTAAAATTCAAATTAATCAAATACTTAAAGTACAAATATCCATCCACCCTCCACAATAATTTGTTAAGGTGGACAAATTTAAAAATTACTTCAGCTCACAAAGAGCTGATGTCTTGTCAAGAATATTATTAGGATCCATTCTCAATTTATCTCTTGCTAATAAGAAAGTGGCACATGTTCTCTAATGGGTGGTTTTGCCACCAAATAACACCACATCGTGGATTTTGCCGCCAAATGATGTCATAGGTAAACGGTTATGACCGGGACCCTCTAACTAGATGACTTTGCCGTAAAATGACACAATTATATTCGGTCATGGTCAAAACTCGTATGTTCCCCAACAACAATAAATCATTGAGCAATATTCACCTCAGGTCTACAAGGCACCCTTGGACGAAGAAACCTATGGCTGCCGACAAGGATTCTTCTGTTAAGTTAGGTTGACTACCTCCTCTGACTAAGTAGACCAGGGATCATGATGGCCCGGGATGATGGAACCATGGGATCTTAATCAAGCTCATCATCACTCCTCCCACCATCTGCTTTAAGTATAAGATGGTGAAATTTTCAATTTTAAATACTAATTTCTCAAATACCTAAACCCATATTGCTACTATACGCTGGATACTATGTATCTATTTGACTTATAGCTTTAATCGAAAGTTCTCTCTCATGATCGGGAGGGGTACTTAACTATAGAGGCTTGCGCTTATAGGAAACCAGAACTTAAATCATAAAATCATTGCAAAATGAGAGCAAAATCTCGGTGTAGTGTCTTACTTCAAACCTAATATGCCTTCTAAAAAATTTCCTCGGATCTTACTCATTAAAGCTCTCCTCGATGACCAAATGAAAGGCCGAAAAGAAGAAGAAAGAAAGGAAGAGGGTCCGCAGAGAGGCCAGGAAGCAAATTTTTGGAGCCCACAATAGTCGAGCATACGTGGACCTAATTGAAGTTAAAGTTGACCCACTTCACATGTAGTTAATTCAGTCAGGGAAGGCTAGCCAAAGCTTCCAAGGAGGCAACTCCTTCAAGTCGGATTGGCGATTCCCTTAAGTTGAGCAGGTGATTTCGACAGTTCAATTAGGCAATATAACACCATAAGGCTATCAGCTAATATACGCATGTGTCATTAGCCTGCACAACTCTCAAGCTTTATCCTCATCTTATAGATATATATATGTAGCTAATCCTGTGGCATCCCAAGCTCGATCCCAAGCCTTTAGAAAAATGGTAAGAGTGGAGCTCAAGTTACCCGACATGGGAAATTCACGCCTATTTAGAGAAGATCAAAGCTTCAGTAGAACTTTTTCTCTCCCTTTATCTACTCTCTTCACACAAGGTCTCAGTAAATTTTGTGTTTGATTCACAGACAATTTTAGTTCCAACAACCACAAAACATAGGTTTCAAAAATAATAGGTTCAATGTCCCAAACCTAGTCTTCTCACAAAGCAAAAGTTGGACCCTTCTATTAATGAAGAGGAATATTAAATGGTAAAGCTATTCCGTTGTACACATCCTACTTAAATCCATGCTCATTAATAGTTTAAATGACACTTACTAAACAAGAGATTTAGCTTCACCTGTTCCCTATTTCGATCAACTCCTTTGTCATTTTCAGCAAAGTCAACTCTCAGCTGGCGTCCATTTATCTCATAGCCTTGGAGATTGCGACGAGCACTCAAAGCTGTTTCTTCATCTTTGTACTCACAAAAGCCATAACCTTTAGGCCTTCCAGTTTCCTTATCAAGTACCAACCTGAAATAAGGTGAAGAATTGGCATGTAACAGCAGATGGGCCAGTATAAAAACTGCATAGCTCTCTAAAAATGCAAAGCACTGAAATCAAATGCCCTGCTGATCTATCAATATCTCTAGTCATCAGCATGAAAGATAGAAAACATCTAACATTACATTCTCAATCTAGACTGTAAGGATGTCAAAATAGCGCAAAGATTTTTGAAGAGCATATCAAACAAAAGAGAGTTAACATGGATGGGAAATAAGAACGCATACCGCTACATGCTCATGAACTTGATAATTAAATCCTCCTCATAAAAAATATGTCTAGTTCGACGCTCAAAGCAAGTTAGAGAATTGATAATATCAAAAGCCCTAGCCTAAACTTCTTGTGCAAAAAAATAATTTGACAAGGAGAACAGATAAGATCTTCCAGTTCATTTCAAATAAGAATTAAACTAGGGATTTACAGACTGACCTGAAGGAGACAACGGGGCCAACCTCCTCGCAAATTTGTATCAGCTGTTCTTCGGTCGCATCGTAAGGTATGTTTCCAACTATACAGTAAGGTATGCTTCATACGAAATCTCAAGCACGGAAAGAAAAGATAACCAAAAGAAAGATTAAACAGCTCCCTCACCGAAGACACAGCGGTGCTGCAAGCCGGAGGTGGAAGCCATATCACAAAGAACTATCGGGGCTCGCTCCCTCGCCGCCGATGCAAGCATGAGAATCCCGGCAGCGGCGGCTGCGATCCATGGCCATTTTTAATCGAAAAAAAGAAAAAAAAAAAGATTTTTTTTATATGGGCCGTGCTCGCGCGTCCTTTTATGTGACGACTTGGCGGCTGGATGGCCATAATGTGAAGCACTGAAGCTTAGCAATTTCGTTTAGAAATAACCATTATTCAAACAGAATTGGTATTTTTTTTAGGGATTAACAAATCTGCGTGTTTTAACAAAGAAAACAAGATATCAAGTTTAGGTTATTTGATATTGCAGTGTACGTCCACAATATCCGAGATGAGAATATTACATTGTAGCAAATGAAATTATAGAACTTTATACCATTTCTGAATAGGAGGTGAAGTTAGACAAGCAAAAGATGAAGAATGTTGCGTCCTAATATTCATGATGGTAGAGAAATATAAAATTTAACGTCTTAGCTTTGTATAAAGATTCAGCACACAATCAGATAAGAGAGATGGTGCAGTATTTATAAGATACATCAAGATTTTTACGTGAAAAGCTCTTAAAAGGGGAAAAACTACATGATCTAGCCTAGTTTGAATGAATCTTCTAATATTTACAGTTAATTACAAATAAGGTCTTTCATTGGAGGGAAGGTCTTGGCTTGATGTAACAAATATACATCATATAGAATGCTTTACATGGTGGAAATTGGAAGAATCGATAATGATATGTTAGTTTGGTCGGTATGACAATAATCGGCAGGCAACGGAGGTAAGAAAAACCATATTCAGGTGATGGCTGTCGAAAGGACTGTAATCGGCGAGCAATAGAGGTTGGAAGGACCGTTGTCTGGCGGGCTATAAAGGTCGAAAAGCCCATAGTTGGTAGGTGACGGAGGTCGGAAGGATCGATGTCGGGTAGAAGTCTAAGAATAATTGGAAGCCGGATAGAAGTATGGCGTCAGTCGGCGCCCGAGTGGAGTACGGCGTCAGTCAGTGGTCGGGAAAAAATCTAGCGTCAATCAGTGGTCGGATCGAATTTTAGAGTCGGTTGGTCACCGAGCAGAAATTATGTGTTGTTCGTCATTAGCCGATCAGAAGTACGGCGACAGTCGGTAGTCGGGCATGGCGTCAGTTGGTGGCCGGGCAAAAATCTAGCGTCAATCGGTGACCAGGCAGAAATCAGGTGTCGGTCAGTGGGCAGGCAGAAATCCAGCATCCATTGTTGGTGGTTGAGCAGAAATACAACATCAGCCGGTGGCCGAGAAGAATTCTAGCGTTAGTTGGTGGTTGGGCAAAAATCCGGCGTTCGTTAGTAGCCAGGCAGAAGTCTGGCGACAGTCGGTGGTCGGGCTAATGTTCAGCGATGATCGAGGAGGACTCTGGTGGCAAGAGAACTCTTCCTTCTCTTCTTTCACTTGTTTGCTTTTGCCCCTCTTATGAGAAATAAGGGATCTATTTATAGTTTTTTTAGAATGGCATGGCCAATAAATAGAAGGAAGCACAAGGGAAAATTTGGAGTGATTTGAATGGACGATCGATATTGATTTCCTTGATCATGAATTGTTTATTGGACATTTGAATGTCTTAATGATATCAGAATTTGGTAATCTTGGCCTCGTTGGATTTATCTCGTCGAGCTGCTCGATTCGATTATAAGCACGTCACATTTGGAAACTATTTGGTAATTTAAATTATGGTTTGAACCTTTGAAATGAGCTTCGGGTATTTGATTTGGACCCATTTGAGCTCGGATTGGATCGAATTTGGTGTCTTTAGGTTTGTTTTTTCAAGACATTCAGTTCAAATATAAGTTTGTTGAAATCGGAGTTTAGAAGGCCCAGGATTTAATTTTTCAAGTTTCCAACTTGATTTTGCCTCAAGATTTGTGTACAATCAAGATAATTTTTTGATGATATATCAAAGAGTTTATAGGTGTAAGAGTTCATGGAATGTACATAAACAATATTTTAATTAATTCAGACATCTCTAGTCATATTAATGTTTTGGAGCAAAGACATATGCTAAGGTTTTTACCCTAATATTAGGTTCAAACCTAGGCATCTTGGTTGTGTATAGGTGTGACCCTAGGACTGACACTTGGGTTTAATATAAGATTGATATTTTGTTGGCCATACTTCTTCAATTTTTCTTATATTTAGAACTTGAGATTTATGATCAGGAAATATGTTCATAAGGCTAGTTTCTTACTTAGGTTTCCTTCTATCTATTAGGGCATGACCCAACACAAGCATGGTCAATATCAATATGTTTGTTGTATGGCATAGTAAATGTAGAGGGCATGGGGAGAACTATTATCAAGTAATCGCTAGTTTAGGAACTAACAATTTGACATGTTATTGAGTTAATTTAAGGCCATCTTAGTCTAACAACTTGTTGGGCTGGTTTTAGTGTATGATAAACATTGCACTTTAGTGGTACGAGGTTTTTAGTCTAAGTCCTTTCTCACCACTATTTTGATAAGTGCGTTATAATGCATTGGAATGATCTTAATTTCAAGCCATCATTGTTTTAAGAGTCGATGGCTCGACATGAGATGGAACTTTAACAACACATAGTTTATGACTTTTTTAAGCTAAAAATTAAGTAAATAAGAAGCCAGACACGAGGGAGATGATCATCATGTAAAATTTTAATCAATTTAGTAGCCAAAATCTCAAATGAGAAGGATAAGGGAGTAAGTTATAAAAAGATAAAATAGCCACTAGCTTAACCTATTTTTATACCTTTTCCTTTACAAAACATTTTTAAGTTTTTTCCCATATAAATATTTATTTTTACTATCCTTTTTATATTTACAAACCATTCCAATAACTTTTTGAAGCATAACGGGTCGAGATTAGGGTAAGTGAAAGTGGCGAAGGTACAAGGAAAAGCTTGCCAATGAGGCATCGTCCCTCCAACAAGCTGATTTCCTAAAGAAGGGGAGACAAAGCTAGTTGGTGAGAGATCTTCTCCCTTTGCTTACATTTTTTGATTTAGTATTAAAATGCCTATTGAGCAAGAGCAAGTGAAGTTGTTATTATATTATGAGCCACTACTGGTGTAACTAACGTAGAATAGTTTTGTTGTTTAAAATAGAGAAATGTACCTTTTCAACAAGCTGATTTCTTCCTTAATTCCACTTAAGAATGGAAGGCAAAATGGATATGTGTGAATGAACTCTCCATATCCTACCGTTATCAACTTGAAGGGACTGGCAAGCTCTTTTGGAGATGGAAGAAGAGATATTTCTTTGCTAGCCTATTGACACGAAGCTGGTCATAATTGAATGTCCTAACCAGATATAATGGATATGTTAGAACTGTGGATAGGATGGCGGCCAAAGTAGGTAGTGGAAGCCTTTGAGAAAGAGAAAGGAATATATTGTTGAATGAAAATCTTCTTTGAGCTTATCACTAGTTATATATGTGGATTGATATTTATATAGCATTAGCTAACCATAGAACCTTATTACTCTTGACTTTACATTGATAGTTTCAATAAAATATTGGAATTTCTAGAAGAAGCTATAGGTAACCTAACTATGGCAGGAGTCCTTAAAAGTGAAAATTTAGAAATCTATGGCATAAGTGGTAACTCATATATAGGAACTCCTGACTTGCCTTAGTGATTAGACCCATGCCATGATAAACTTTTGATTTTTTTTCTACTCAATTATTCTTTGACCAATACCATAGTGTTGGATGAAAATTTCAAGATTACTCAAATTCAAAATATCCACTGGTGTTCCTAAGTTAAAATCAAACTCCCATAGAAATCAAATCATATGGTCTTTGAATCACATAAAATAAATTGACTCTAGCTTAGATTAGATAAAAATTTGAACTTTTGGGGTTCATTTACAATAGGTTAAATTCAAATTTAAAATGCTAAAATCTAATATATTTGAAGGAACCTTGGATTGTAATAGGACCTCTTCTAGACCCCACATTTTAAACTTTTTTAGGGGCTATCTCATAACCTTAGGATGCTTCTAATCTACCCTGAATAGGTAGAGGATCTCATCGGGTCAATCTTAACTCAACCTTAGGTCATCCCTCAAGAAAACCCAAAACTTTAGGAATTGCTTAGCACCACCCTTGCTAAACCCTAGGAAATTTTAGGTGACCATGTCTTCCTCCTGTACTTACACCATGGTACAAAGAGCTTTTAATCAACACATTTATTCTTTGGTCAAAGCACTTTTGACCACAATATTCTCTTAACCTAAATCAACAAATTTCAAAATGTAGTGAACCAAATCAAACCTAAGTCTCTTGCCTTCAGATCTTTATATATATATATATATATATATATATATATAATCTTTTTTTTTTCTCTCCCTCCCTCTCTATTTCTCCTTTATTATCCCTCATGACTTCAAGAAGATAACTAGAATAAAAAATATAATGTTTTCATATATACATATATTCCTTCTATTCCCTCACTCTCCGCTTTGTCTCGTTTTCTTGGCCATGAAGAAAGGAAGAGATGAGATGAAAGAAGGAAGGGAGAGAAGATCTTCAAGTGATTTTTGTCTGCGCGCTATCTCTTTTATGAAAGTTGTTTTATTTGTTCTAAGTAACTATCCTCTTACCTCTGTTTTCTATGGTTTTGATTTCTGTGAATGTTATCTCTCCTAAATATGTCATAAATGCATTATATCCTTTATCTATAAGATTTTACGATATAATTTTTGATATATTATAAATTTGATCATTCATAATAATATGATATAATTTTATTACATGTTTACTAGTTAAAATGTTTATATGAATATTTATGTGAAATGAGCAAGGAAATGGTATACTGAAAATGGGTTGAAGTGATGTATGTGATTTGATGTGATAATACAAAATTATAATATGTACTGAAATGATTAATATGATTTATATACACTAAAATGTGATACTACTCTAATCTGATTGAAAGGATATTCTGATTGATATTAGATATATGAAATGATAACTCCTATGTAATAACATCAAGATTCACTTATTACTGATGAGAGATATAAGAAGTTGGAGACTGATTGAGAGTTATAAGGATTCAGGGCGACTGATCCACGTGATTTAATGAGAGTTATAAGTAGTACACTAATTGGGAGAAGAGACCACTGATTGGGAGTCATAAGGGTAAGTGCAAGATACAAGATACCCTCATATGAATATATGAAAGAATACTAA